CCATGGCAACATTTTTCTATATATGTGTCCTGAGGTAAAGGTAAACAAAAGCAAAATAAACTATTGAGACTACAACAAAATAAAAAGCTTTTGCAAAGCAAAGGAAACCATCAACAAAATGAAAAAACAACCTACTGAAGGGGAGAAAGTATTTATAATTAATGTACCAATAAGGGGTTAACATCCAAAATATATAAACAACCTACATAACTCAACATTAAAAAACAAAAACAATCCAATTTCTAGAAATATGCAGAGGATCTGAATAGACATTTTTCCAAAGAAGACATACAAATGGAAAACAGAGGGGCAGCCCAGGTGGTTCAGCACTGCCATCAGCCCAGGGTGTGATCCTGGAGACCTGGGATCGAGTCCCACGTCAAGCTCCCTGCATGGAGTCTGCTTCTCCCTCTGCCTGTGTCTCTGCCTTTCTCTCTCTGTGTCTGTCATGAATATATAAATAAAATCTTTTAAAAAACAAATGGCAAACAGAGACATGAAAAGATGCTCAATATCATTCATCATCAGGAAAATGCAAATTAAAAGCACAATGAGATTTTCGACTTACACCTGTCAGAATGGCTAAAATCAAAATGACAAGGAATAACAAATATTGGTGAGAATATGGAGAAGAAGGAATCCTTATGCACTGTTGGTGGGAATGTAAATTGGTACAATCACTGTGAAAAACAATATAGATGTTTCTTAAAAAAACTAAAAATAGAAATATGATACGATCCAGTAATTCTACTACTGGGTATTTACCCAAAGAAAGGGAAAACACTAATTCAACAAAATATATGCATCCTTATGTTTATTACAGAATTTATTTTTTAAAATATTTTTTCTTGAGACAGAGAGAGGCAGAGACATAGACAGAGGGAGAAGCAGGTTCCCTGTGGGGAGCCCAATGTGAGACTCAATCCCAGGACCCCGGGGTCACGCCCTGAGCTGAAGGCAGACACTCAACCACTGAGCCACCCGGGTGTCCTTATTACAGAATTATTCACAATAGCCAAGATAGGGAAGCAACCCAAGTGTCTACTGATAGATGAATAAAGATGTAGTGTGTAGTACACACACACACACACACACACACACAATGGAGTATCACTTGGCCTAAAAAAAGGATGGTATCTTGCCATCCACAAAAATATGGATGGACCTAGAGGGTATTATGCTAAGTGAAATAAGTCACACTGAGAAGACAAATACCATATAATTTCACTTACATGTGGAATCTAAAATCAAAAACAATGAATAAGCAAACAAACCAAAAGCAGAATCAGACCTGCAAATGCAGAGACCAAACTGATGCTTGCCAAAGGGAGGGCGGTGGGGAGATGGGTGAACAGGAGTGGGAGTTATAGGCTTCCAGTTATGGAATAAACAAGTCCGGAGAATAAAAGTCCCTGCATGGAGAATACAGTTAGTATATTGTAATAGTGTGTGATGACAGATGGTAGCTACACTTGTGGTGAGCACAGCATAATGTATATATAGAGATGTTAAATCAGTATGTTGTACACCTGAAACTCATGGAACATTATATATGAACTATATTCAAAAAAATTTTTTAAAGAATGAAATCTTAGTAAATCACAACAATATTGAAAATATATTTAGGGCCAAATACATTTTCATTACCTATTGATATACTAATATAGCCTTTTTGAGCCTTAATTTATTGATGTAATTAATTATATTGATTGATTTTTCTGGTATTTAACTACCCTACTATGCCTAGAATAGATTTTTACTCAGGTCATAGGGATTACCCTTTGAGAAAACTGTTGTGCTTTCTTATATAATATTGTACCTAGACATATGTATTCATGTAAAAGTGTTCATTTTTAAAAATTTTGGTACAATATCAATTGGGCTTAGATGTCAGCATTATACTAGTATCATAAAATAAAATTTTATATTTTCCTATAGCCAGGAATAATTCAGAATTTATAATTTATAATGATTTTCACTTGTCACAATCATTCTCCTTTTTTCTTTACCGTACCTACCTGAAAAATCCCTATCCTGGCTAATTCTAACTCTCTGACTAAAACCAAACAAAGCACTTAAAATGGTTGCAAGAAGAATTATTTTCCACTCTCCAATGTGACTCTTTCAGATTGTCTTCTTTCTTCTTCAGCACACCATTTCTCATATTAGTCTCAATAATTAGTCATGTTTATTATTTCACTGAGAAAATAAAGTCAAACTAAAACCTCTTCAGAGCAAGGAAAATTGTCAGGAAGAGAGAAGAACATTATATAATAATAAAGGGGTCAATTATCCAAAGAGACCCAACAATCTTTATTGTGTATGCACCTAAAAATAGAGAATCAAAATATATGAGGTAAAAACTGATAGAACTACAAGGAGAAATAGATGAATCCACTATTACAACACTTTCTATCAGAAATGGACAGATCCAGAAGATGGAAAAGGAGATAGTTGAACTGAACAATACTATCAATCAACCGGATATATCAGATAATCTATAAGTAACTTCATGCAATAATAAAATACACATTTTTCTCAAGTTCACATGGGCATTTACCAAAATAGATAACATTCTAAGCCATAAAAACACACTTTAACACATTTAAGGAATAAAAATCACAAATGTCTGCTCTTAGATTACAGTGGCACCAAACTAAAAATCAGTAACAGAAAAATAGCTGGAAAATCCCCCAAATATTTGGAGATTAAGCAACACTCTTATAAATAACATATAGGTCAAAGAAGAAATTTTGAGACATTTCAAAATACTTCAAACTAAATTTAAATGAAAATACAATTTATCAAAATGTGTAGGACTCATTGAAAGCAGTGGGTAAATTATACCATTGAATGCACACATTAGGAAAGAAGAAATATCTAAAATAAATCATCTAAGTTTCCATCTTAGGAAACTAGAAAACGAAGAGCAAGTTAAACACAAAGTCAGCAAAGAAAAAGATATAATAAAGATTTGAGTAGAAATCAATGGATATTAAAAATAGGAAATCAACAGAGAAGATCAGCAAAATTAAAAGCTGGTTCTTTGAAAAAATCAATAAAACTGATAGCTTCTAACAAGGTTAATAATTTTTTAAAAAGAATAAAAATCACTAATATCATATATGAAAGAGGTGAAGTCAATACAGATCCCATGAACATTAAAAGGATAAACAGGAATACTATGAACAACTCTATGCCTACGAATTTGAAAACCTAGATAAAATGGATCAATTCTTCAAAAGACACAACTAGCCAAAACCCACAAAAGAAATAGGCAATTGGAATAGGCGTATCTATTAAAGAAATGGACTAATAATTAACAGCCTTCTAAAACAGGAAGAACTCGTCTTAGATGCGTTCGTTGGTAAATTCTCCCAAATATTTATGAAGAAATTGTACCAATTCTCTACAACTGCTTTTAGAAGACAGAGCCGAAAGACTATATCTAACTCATTCTATAAGACCAGCATTGTTCTAACATAAAAACCAGACAAAAACAAAACAAAAAATTAAAGACCAATAATGTCATGAATATAGTTGCAAAAATTCTCAACCAAATATTAGCAAATCAAATACAAAAAAGTTTAAAAAGAACTATACACCATAACCAAGTGGGATTTACCCCAGGCAAGGCCAGTTCAACATTCAAAAATCAATGTGTTCCATCACATTAATAGGCTAAAGAAGAAAAGTCAATGATTCTATCAAAAGATGCATAAAGGGGCAGCCCGGGTGGCTCAGAGGTTTAGCACGGCCTTCAGCCCAGAGCCTGATCCTGGAGATCCAGGATCAAGTCCCATGTCGGGCTCCCTGCATGGACCCTGCTTCTCCCTCTGCTTGTGTCTCTACCTCTCTCTCTATCTCTCTGTGTCTCTCATAAATAAATAAAAAAATAAGTAAATAAGTAAATAAGTAAGTAAGTAAGTAAATAAATAAATAAATAAAATCTTTAAAAAAAGATGCAGAGAAAGCATTTAATAAAATCCCACTTCCACTCATGATAAAAACTCTCAATAAACTAGAGATAGAGGAAAACTTCAACTTGATAAGAATAGTTACAAAAAAAAACCCAAAGTCAACACCCTTAATGGTGAGAAACTCAAAATACGTCCACTAAGATAATAAACAAGAATGACCCTTACATCACTGCTTTTCAACATCGTACTGGAAGTCCTTGCTAATGCAAATAAGCAAGAAAAGGAAATAAAAGGTACATAGATTAGAAGGAAGAATTAAAACTGCCCTCGTTTTAAAGTGACATGATTATCTATGTGGAAAATCCAAAAGAATTGACAAAAAACTCCTAGAACTAATAAGTGATTATGGCAAGCTTACAAGATAAAAGGTTAATATATAAAAGTTAACTATTTTCCTATAAGCCAGCAATAAACAGTGGATTTTGAAAGTAAAATCACAATACCATTTACATTAGCATCCCCCAAAATGAAATCCTCAGGCATAAATCTAATAAAATATGTACAAAACCTGTATGAGAAAAAATGCAAAACTCTGAAGAAAAAAAATCAAAGAAAAACTAAATAAACAGAGAAATAGTCTATGTCCATGAATAGGAAGATTCAATATGATCAAGATGTCAGTTCTTCCTAATTTGATCTATAGATTTAACAGAATTCATAAACCAAAATTCTATCAAACTATCTTGTGGATATCAACAAAGTGATTCTACAGTTTAGATGGAAAGGCAAAAGATTCAGAATAGTTAACAAAATGTTGAAGAACGCAGTTGGAGGCCTGACATTACACAGCTTTAAGAATTACTATAAAGTAACAGTAAAGAAGACAATATAATATCCATAGAAGAATAGACAAGTAGAATGGAATAGAACATAAACCACAGAAATAGACCCACATAAACATAGTCAACTGATCCTTGATACAGGAGCAAATGCAAAGGTAGTCTCTTTAACAGAAGGTGCTAGAAAAACTGGACATCAGCATGCAAAAAAAAATGAAAAAAGGGGGGCGGCGCGCGGCCAGCGGAGGCACCTGTCCGCCGCCCAGGACGCCGCGCGCGGGTCGCTGGCGGGGTCGTGTCCGCGGGCACCTGCCCCACGGGGTCTCGGCAGCAGGAGGTGGCTGCGACGGGTGTGCAGAGCGCATGCGCCCGGCGCCAGATGTGGTCAGCTTTGGACAAGATGCCAGCTCCAGCCACCACATATGAAAGAATAGTTTACAGAAATCCCTCTGAGCACCACTATATGAAAGTCTGCCTAGAATTTCAAGATCATGGGGTTGGATTGAATGTTGCACAGTTCAAACAGCTGCTTATTTCAGCCTTAAAGGACCTGTTTGGGGAGGTTGCTGCAGCCTTACCTTTGGACGTCCTAACCTATGAAGAGAAGACCTTGTCAGCCATCTTGAGGATATCTAGCAGTGGTCTTGTCAAATTATGGAGCTCTTTGACTCTATTGGGATCCTATAAAGGCAAGAAATGTGCTTTCAGAGTGATTCAGGTTTCTCCATTTCTTCTCGCCTTATCTGGTAATAGTAGGGAACTAGTATTGGATTGAGAAGTCTTCAATTTCAGAAATACACTGCCACTCTCAAAAGCACTTTTTTGGTGACAATATGATGTTTGAAGACTGAAGCAGTCTAAAGCTCCAACTGCTGAAATTTGATGGTGCTGAAGATGTTCCCAGTAATTTCCCGCCATCGTCTGTGGTGGGGTGGGCTTCAGAGGAGCATCTGCCCGAGCCAGCCAGTGCTGAGCAGGCAGTGTATTGAGCAGATGCACGTCCGAGTGGGAGACCGCGCTGAACTCAGCAGGGCCTTCACGCAGAGGGACGTGGCTGCCTTCTCAGAATTAACGGGGGATGTCAATCCTTTGCATTTAAACGAAGATTTTGCAAAACACACCAAGTTTGGAAAGAGAATTGTACATGGAGTTTTGGTCAATGGACTTATTTCAGCACTCTTGGGAACTAAAATGCCAGGGCCAGGCTGTGTATTACTTTCACAGGAAATTAGCTTTCCAGCCCCTTTATATGTTGGAGAAGTTGTCTTAGCTTCTGCAGAGGTAAAAAAGCTAAAGCGGTTTGTTGCTGTTATTGCAGTGTCATGTTTTGTAACAGAAAGTAAGAAGACGGTTATGGAAGGCTGGGTTAAAGTTATGGTCCCAGAAACTCCCAAATCCTGAAACATGGTCAAAGATGCATGTTCAAGTGCCAGTGGTGTACTGTTGGTGAAGAGCCTCTGGGGAAGTTAGGGATTGCTGCCTTTCACCAGGGGATGCCTTGTAGACCTCAAAGCCCGGTTGAGGGCGGGGGTGGAAGCAAGGAGCTGGGTGTACAAAGGTTCACTGTCTGATTTGGCTTTAAGCTTCACACAGACTTGAGTGTATTCATCATCTGTCTAGGTTTTTAAAATTGAAAAAAATACCAGGAAGGTTATTTAGCTGAAGGTTCTAATTTTCAGATTTCACATCTAGTTAGATCTGCATTTTGATAATACAAACCTGCTTCTGGGCAGAATAAGTTCATCGCTGAATTTATAACTAGCAGTTAATTATTGAAAGCAACCACAGAAGCCAGGCCATCTTGAGCACCTACCTTCTACCAGGCAGTGTTCTTAGAGCCTGTTGTTCAGCAGTTTCTGGCTCAGAGTTTATTGTAATTTGTTACTGCTCACACCACAATGGCACCTTGTTGCATCCTCAGTGGCATTTGCCTTTTACATGGTTTTCCATGGAGAAGGGCAATATGCACATTTGGACTCATTCTATGTAAACTCTCAATCTCATGTATGAAACAGGGATGACAACACCTACCACACAGGATTGTTGGAGAGGCTAGGTACAAATAGCTAAGCACAAAGTCCAACCTGTAAAGTAGTTAACTGCTGTCGTCCGTTCTCCCCTGTGGATGAAGTTACAGGTTTTCCTGAGGTTAAAGCAAACTGGCTCACAATTAAACATAACAGACTAATTTTCATGATGTTGGTCCATCTAAGCCTGAAATAGAGTTTGAGTGAGAAGTTTCTATTTTACTAATCTAGATTATTTTCTCTCTCCCTTGAAAACACTGGATTCTCCCCTTTACAAATAATACATATGTCAATTGTAAAGATATTTTAAATAAAAAGTATAAGGAAAAAAAAAAAAAAAAAAAAAAAAAAAAATGAAAAAAGGAATCTTAACACAAACTTTATACCCTTCACAAAAATTAACTCAAAATGGATCCTATACCTAAATGTAAAACACAAAACTTAGACCTAGGGTTTGATGGTGACTTAAAAAAAAAAAAAAAAAAAAAAAACACCAAAGCATAATCCATGAAAAAAGAATAAGCTGATTTCATCACATAAAAAAATTAAAAAACCACTACATACCTACTAGAATGGCCAAAACCCAAAAGACTGACAACACCAAATGCTGAGGAGGATGTGGAACAAATAGGAATTTTCATTTATTGCTGGTGGGATTGCAAAATGGTATGGCCACTTTGGAAGACGGTTTGGCAGTTCCTTATAAAAGTAAACATGGTCTTACCATATGATCCAGCAACAGTGCTCCTTAGTATTTACTAAGAAACTTTAAGTTCACACAAAATCAAACTGTGCTATATACACAAAAAGTAATGCTACTTGGCAATAAAAAGAATGATAACTAAGAAATGGGTGACTTTCAAAAACACCGCTCTAAATAAAGCCAAGACCCAAAGAAACACACACGCTGTCTGATGCTATCACATGAAAATGTAAAAATAATAATAATAATAATAATAATAATAATGCCAAACTGTAGTAAAGGCAAACCTCAAAGAATGCTTAGAGTCTGGTATGAAGGGGATTGACTGCAAATGTACATAAGGAATCTCATTCAGATTATAAGAATGTTCCGTATCTTTTTAAAAGGATTTTACTTATTTGAGAGAGAGCTAGAGGAGAGACGAACCTGGAGAGGGACAAGCAGACTCTGTCCTGAGCACAGAGCCCGAGATGGGGGCTCCATCACATGGTTCAAGACCATGACCTGAAGCTGACATCAAAAATCAGCCTGAGTGAGCTCCCCAGGTTCCTGTGGGATGTTCTATATCTTGATTTGGGTGGTAGGAACAGAGTATACACTTGTCAAAATTGATCAAATTATATGCTCTGATTAATGAATTTCATTGTTACTAAATTACATGTCAATACCAAAACAAGAAATGAAGAACCAGGAACCCAAATTAATATTTGGTATTTATTTTCAGAAAAGTGACAATAGCTATATTTCACAAAATATTTCATTCTACATTTTCCTGAAATGTTTGGCCCCTTATAGTGTATTTACAGATTATTTTATTTACACGAGTCTTTGCAAGAACACATTTAATTCAAGAAATGAGAAATGCTTATTCTATCACTACCAAAAATAGCGCTTTGTCAGAAACCAAGTGCTGTAAGATTCAAGGCACATACAGGTATATGCCCCAAAGACTATAACATTAATTCATGTTATATGTATAAATTACTTTGGAATCACCAAAGTTAATCACTGCAACCAAAATATGAGGGGTTTTTCCTCATTGCAAGGAAAAAAAATACAACTGACTATTCTTAGTATCTAAGCTTAAGTAATAATAATAACAAAACCTAACAAACATGATATTAATGTTTCTTTTCTGCAGAGTAGGTCTGGAGGATAGAATGGGTAATTATTCTAATTATAAACTTTTTTAAAAAAAGATTTTATTTCTCTATAGAGAAAGCATATGAGCAGGGGGAGGAGCAGAACAGGGAGAGAGAATCTCAAGCTGAATCCCCCACCCCACCCCCCCACGCTGAGTATGCAGCCTTCCTTAATCTCACATCTCACAACCCGGAGACCAAGACCTGAGCCAAAATCAAGTCAGACGCTTAACCAACTGAGCCACCCCGGTGCCCCTAATCATAAACACTTAATATTTTCAGTGGGCCAGGTTATAATCGAGCGGCTGTAAGTAAATGAATTGGACTGATTTGAAACCCATTACACTTAGCTTCTTTAGATTTCCAATAGATGAATAACACTATTTTATGATAAGTTCTAATTTTCTCTCTCACTAGAATTACTCCACTAATAGATGACTTTTTGGAGTAAATGTGTTATAAACTATAAAATTATGTAAGTCCTACATAAGCAACAGATAAATTCAGGGTCCCCCCTTCCCCCAGTTAATGCCAGTTGTTTCTTACAGGTATGCAACATTTTCTAAAACTCCCAGGCAAGTTAGGTCATGTATTAACAGATATTTATGAAAATCCTGTATTCTGGGGATCCCTAGGTGGCGGAGCAGTTTGGCGCCTGCCTTTGGCCCAGGGTGCGATCCTGGAGACCCAGGATCGAATCCCACGTCGGGCTTCCGGTGCATGGAGCCTGCTTCTCCCTCTGCCTGTGTCTCTGCCTCTCTCCCTCTCTCTCTCTGTGACTATCATAGATAGATTAAAAAAAAATCCTGTATTCTACAACACTGTATTCCATGTGGAAGGACAAACAAAAATATTGTGAGATCCCAAGGAACTTTAACTTCAGTTGAGGAAACAAAGCACAGACATAGATTCAGGTATTTCTTATTAATACCAATTTCCAGGACAACACTGGCGCGTATATTGGCTCCCTTATATTTCTATGCCTATTCAAAATTTACCTGCCATATTTGGATTGATCTCTTGAGATCCTTTTTCTCTGGAAAAATAATAATAATAAAATGAAGTGTATACATCTGCTCTTTCACAAATAAATAACAAGGTAAAAGAGCAGACAGAGGAGGAAGGACACAAAGTAGTGAGGTGTGAATTGACATTTAAAAATGTATCTAGAATAGAGCGCTAGCACTTTAATTTTATCATGTCATAGGCATAACCATATGAAAATTGGGCTAACAATACAAAGCCCTACGAAATACAGCAATGCATTCCCAAATTCAAATATTTTTTACATTAAATTCCAGTATATTAAAACATACTACTATTCTCCCTTTTGCTAAAATGGATTTTGATTGTACCCTAAGTTGTTACTGTTGAGAATAAGAAAAAGTGAGAGCAAGGAACAGATCTACAGAAAAAAAAAAAAGTAAAACAAATGGCACAGCAGGTGAAGAATCTTCTGCATTGAATCCTACTACTTTTGTTTTATGGAAAGAGAGGTTGCTGATACAAGGATTCTTCCAATATACTTTAAGATCATCTCACTAGGATTATGTTGACACTGAAGTGGTGAAGAGCAGAAGTCAACAATCACAAGTCATAACACCAGAATTTGACAGAGGATCAGATCCTGGAAAAGGCCACTTAGTATAAATATTATCTTAAAAAAGCAAAATAAATGTACAGTCATGGCACTGAAACTGAGGGAAACGGAACGGCTAAGAAATTTTTAACAATCAAGTGATCACAAGTGGAATGAGTTTACAAATCTCGCTATTGCTCATTAAAATGTACAATATGTCATCTCTAACCCTTTACACATGTTCAGTCTTTATTGTTTTAACTTACAAAATCAAACTTGTGTATTAAATAAGGTCTTTTCTAACTTTATGTGTGATCTCAGTAA